TACTTAGCTCCTAGTCCCATAACGAGCTGGGATGATCCGAAGAGAGTCTTTCTAGAGAAATTTTTCCCTGCTTCTAGGACCACCGCCATCGGGAAGGATATATCGGGTATCGAGCAACGAGATGGGAGAGAGCTTATACAAGTATTGGGAGAGGTTCAAGAGACTTTGTGCAAGTTGCCCTCACCACCAAATATCGGAACGGCTACTGCTGCAAGTACTTTTATGAGGGGATGAACACAATGGATAGGAGTATGATAGATGCGGCTAGTGGAGGAGCTTTGGGAGACATGACACCTAGCATCGCTAGAGATTTAATTGAGAAGATGGCATCCAATTCCCGAGCAATTTAACATGAGGAGTGATGCCATAGTCCTTAGGGGTGTACATGATGTGGGTTCATCGGATTTAGTGGAGAAGAAGCTAGAAAGTAAGATTGATGCCCTCACCACCCTAGTCTCCCAACTTGCTCGCAAATCGGAGACCTGCACCACCCGCAAGGGTTTGTGGCATTTGTACTTCAATTGAGCATCCCACCGATTGCTGCCAATTATTGCATGAGTCTACGGGTTCGGAGCTCCACAAGCTTATGCAACAAACATTTTCAATAATAGGGCTCCGAACCAACAACATAATTCTAACCTCTCAAGCAATAGATACAATCCAGAGTGGAGGAATCACCCAAATCGAGATGGTCCAATCAAGCAACACCAACAGCTGCAGAATCCTTTGCCACCACCACCATTTCGAATTCTGCTGGTCCAAGCAGACCTTATGTGCCTCCACCAATGCAACAACAATATCGGAGGCAGCAAAATGAAGCACCAGCTCCTCAACCTTCTTCACCTTCAGTAGAGGAATTGGTCAAACAAATGGTCGAGATGAACATACAGTACCAACGAGAAAAATGATGCCTCCATTCGGAGTTTAACCAACCAGATTGGTCAACTAGCTACTGCTGTGAATCAATTGCAAAATCAAAATTCGGACAAGCTCCTCGCATGCATTGTGGTTAATCCTAAGAATGTGAGTGCCATCACATTGAGGTCGGGAAACAGATTGACATACCCACTGCAACACCTCCACCCTCATCCGTAGCCGCCTCGCTTCGCACCTGAGCAACTAGTTGGTAGTCAAAAATTGCATATAGATGGACCTTCTTCCAGCCCTGGTTCGAACCGCAACGACCTCCTATCCCTCTTCCATTCCCTCCCAAAGAAATTCCAAGCAAAAAGATGGATGAGGTAGATAAAGAGATTCTGGAGACCTTCAGAAAAGTTGAGGTGAACATACCTCTGCTTGATGCCATCAAGCAAATTCCCAGATATGCTAAATTCCTGAAGGAGCTGTGCACCCACAAGAGGAAGATGAAGGGCAGTAAGATAATCAGTATGGGCAGAAATGTGTCTGCTTTGATAGGTAAATCTATTCCTTACATTCCCGAGAAATGTAAGGACCCAGGTACATTCTCGCATACCTTGTATTATTGGCAATAATAAATTTGAGAATGCCATGCTTGATTTGGGTGCTTCAATTAATGTTATGCCTTTGTCCATTTTTAATTCTTTATCTCTTGGACCTCTGCAACCTACGGGTGTGGTGATACAACCGGCAAATAGGAGTGTAGCCCACCCTACGGGTTTCATTGAGGATGTCTTAGTTCGGGTTGATGAACTCATTTTTCCTGCTGATTTCTATGTGCTTGATATGGAGGAGGGATTCTCCCATGGATCTGTCCCAATCATTTTAGGAAGACCATTTTTAAAGACTGCAAGAACCAAGATTGATGTGCATGCAGGGACCTTATCCATGGAATTTGATGACATTGTGGTGCACTTTAATATTCTAAATGCCATGAAACACCCATCTGAGGAGATAGATCCAGGAACCACCATGATGAGGAAGACTTTGTTTGTTTTAGCGGAACAAAGTTGCTACTTGATGACCTCAACACCTGTACCATCTGAGGAGATAGATCCGGGACCCACCATGATTAGGGAGTTCTTCTTTTCCCTTCTCTTTACTTTTACTGCACTTGTCCAATTGGTGATTTGATTGCTTGATTTGATGTTCTGCTCCATTGGGACAATTTGTAGTTTAAGTGTGGGGGAGACTGTTCTTTGTTTTCTTTGTTTAGGATTTTTAGTTTTCTTTGTGTTTCAGGTTCGTGTTTTGTGTACAATTTGCATGTTTCTTTTGGATCTTTGGGTTTTGTTTAGGTTTTGGGTACTTTCTTCACTCTTAGATAGGAGTTGTTTTATGCTTTTTGGATTGAAATCCCTGTTTTTCTCTGCTTGTCAAATTGGTTACGATGTTTGAGAGGCTGAATTGAAGGCGACAATCTTACCCTTTGTGAGGAATTGAGCCACTACCTTTCTTTCTTGAGTGTTATGCCTCTTGATTGCTTGCGCAGTAGCCTTGGCTTGACTCTGATTGATACTTCTTGATTCACATGCATGTTTGGAGATGATTAAGGCATTTTTGTTCTGATTAGCCTCTAGCCAAATGAGCCTACCTTGAATTAATTCCTTTGATAGCCCCTTTGAGCCTATGTTTCCCTTTATTTCTTTTGAAGCTCATTAAAAGCCTTAAGTGAAAAACCATGATTACCTTAACCTTAGGGATTTTTGGAGCTTTGGAATTGTTTTGGGAATAAGTTATTGAATAAGTGTGGGGGTGCATTTTGTATTTCATTGGATGATGTATTGGCTAGTTGGTTATCTCTCGCTATATAGTTTTTGTGTTTTCCTTTCTTAAAAAAAAAAAAAAAAAAAAAAAGGAAAAAAAAGAAGAAGATATATATATAAAAATATATATATATATATATATATATATATATATATATATATAAAAAAAAAAAGGAAAGTTGTGGTTGAGGTAAAGGCAAGTAGTGGAGGTTTGATATTAGAGGTTTTTGGGCATGCATCTTGTGCTTATTTTTGACTTATTCTCCATTGCTCCTCTAGTTCCTCCGGTTCACAACTACTTATCCTATATGATATCCTCTACCTTGTCCCTACCCCCATTACAACCTAAAAAGACCTTTTGATCTTTTTATGCATGTGCGTTGGGTGTTGAGTTTAGAGGCTTGCCAAGTCTATCTCGTTGTTTGCTTTTCTTGAGTATTTTGAGAGTATACAGTAGCCTAAACACATGAGAGATACAGTGCATCTTGTGAGGTTTTGTCACTTTGATTCACCTTTTGACTCGATTGACCTCTTGCCAGGTTTTGAAATGCTTGGATGATTTCCATGAGTATCCGGTTCCTCCGACTCTTTGTGTGTAGGATGTTGTCTACTCCTTTCTTTTCCCAAGATTCATTAAGGATTGTGTAAATTTGTTTGTGTTTTGTGTGTCTTCTTGTTCTTGCTCCTTTTTGTTATGTCACTCTCTTCGATGTCTTTAGAATTACTCCTTGCTTTGCTTCTTGATTTTGCCCGGGAGTGCAAAAGGCTAAGTGTGGGGGAATTTGATTAGTCATTATTTTCCCGCATTTTCTTATCTTTATATACTTATCTTAATTGGTGCATTGTGTTTAATTGTCTATTATTAGTGCATTTTCATTGATTGGGCTTCATTGGGCCAATAATTTAGATTTTAATCTATTTGATCTAATTTTTACTCATAAAGCAATTTTGGACTTGAAAAATTGGGCCAAATGTCATATTTTATTTTATACGGGTACTGACATTAGTTTATTGTTTTATTTATCATTTTTTCTACAGATCTCCAAATAACATGATTCTAAAATAATTATAAACTAGACACATTGAGCTTTCCACAGGATCCAAAATCATTCAATTCGGAGCTAAATTGGATTTTACATAAATTATCCAAAACGGGTCAAGCGCACCAGGCCGGCCCAATGGACATGCTTCAGTAATTTAAGTCTCATAAATTCATTAAAGCTCCGAAAATAGTAGAAACGGTGGCGTTTTAAAGCTAGCTCAAAAGGCTTTCGTTGGAGACCAAAATCGCTTAATTTGGATAAGTATTGAAAATACTGCATGTGTTTGAAGTTCATGGACCTGCACTGAAGCCAATTTATGATGTGTTTCATGGACTAGTTGAGCCCAAAAACCTCGATTAAGATTAGGGTTAGGGTTATTTATATAAGAGAGGCACATCACACAAAAAGAAGACATCAACACACAAGGACTAGGCAGCCACCACACTTCCGTCTTTCATCTTCTGCAATTTACATTCAAGTTTGTTACTCTTCTGTCATTATTTTTAAATTCTTGTTTCAATTTTAATTATGTTTCTTCTATTGCGTTTTCAACTTTCTATGGATAGCTAAATCTTTGTATTGATTTTCTGAGAAGAATGCAAGTAGATCTTTGAGGTTTTGTTCTTCAATTTCATATTGTTTGTTCTCTTAACTCTTCATCTTCTAATCTCAGTATTGAATTATAATCTGTTTATGCTTAATAAACCGAAACTTATATCACAGTTTGCTTAATTCTGTGTTAGATATGAGATTATGTGATGTATGCAATGCTTAATTGTATAAGGATATTTGGGGTTAATCTTCGCTTAGTTGGTTAATTTCATGTTGGAATAAGGGTTAAGGAAAATTTGGGATTAATCTTCGCTTAGTTGGTTAATTTCATATTGGAACAAGGGTTAAAGCTAATTTGAGATTAATCTTCGCTTAGTTGATTAATTTTAGATTAGAATATAATTTGGGATTTATCTTCGCTTAGTCGGTTAATTTCGAATTAATTTCGTAATCTAGGATAAGTGACGCTGCATTAGAATCGGAAAATCAATTGCATTTTAATTTGTTTTTAATCCGCATTTTTATAATCTGTTTTTGTTTTGTTTCATCTAATATTTTAATTTTGAAAAACTCCCCTTTTAATTTTTTGTTACTAAAAATTGATAAACTTTGATAGAAATTTGTGGTCTTTGGGAGACGACCTAGGAAAGCTTCCTAGTACTACATTTATCTGTTTTAATTATTTGACCGAGTACGACATCGATCAGCAGCAATGCAAAAGCTACTCATGGAGGTGCATCAACAGCTTTCTAGCAGCAGCGCCTACACTGTAAGCAGCTTTCTGGCAGCAGCGCTTACAGTGTAGACTGACCAGAAATCTTGAGGTTGGTGATGGTGGTTCCTAACATCAACTACAACCCATGTTAGCAAGGTTCAGGTTTCAGTTCCTATGGTAACTGAACAACAATTTCAGTCAAACCAAGTGCTCTAGTACTAACTTCGGAGAATGAACTGTGTTGTATTTCATCATATATTATACAATATGCAATCTAAGTATTTCTAGTGTAAATAATTCGTTGTTCAATATAATTAATTTTGATTACGTGATAAATTACTTAAACACCATGTGAGTTTTTTAATCTCATTCAAAATTTAATACACAGTAAATTTCAATCACATATTGTTCATATTCAAACTTTATACTTAATACAATCTAAAACATTTAGGATAACTTGCAAGAATAATAAAGAATTATAAAAGTAAATTGTTGAAAAAATAAATGTGCTGGAAATTAAATAGCATAAAAATAAATCTAACCTATTACCAAGGATAAAACAGAAATTAATAGAGAAAATCAATTAAAGTGACAATGCAAATTACAAAGAACTTCATTGAAAATACTTGTTCTCATTTCGTAATGTTTTTTAGAATCTAAGTTATACAATTTGACAATCAATCACCTTTAATTACCCTTATTTTATCTTATATAAATATTGTTTTTTTTAACTGCCAAAATATCACCAAAATAAAATAAAATAAAAATAATCATAATAAAACTATAAATTAGACAGATATGTTGGCAGTTAATTATGATTATTTTTATCTTATCTTATATTATCTTCCTCTCAATAAAATAAAATGAAGTGGTAATCACTTCACCTTTCAGTATAACTTCCTCTCAATATACCTATGTTGATATTCTTCACCCTTTAATTTCTCAATTCCTAATTTATCAATGTTCCGACATTTTCAAAAACTCAATACTCGATTATTCTTCTATCTCGATAATATACCTTTTTCAAATATTCCTTTCAACTATCCAATATCCCTTTTCTCTCTATTTATTCTTTTAATCTTTTTGTAAATTTTACATTTAACAAAAGTCGGAAAGAAATTAAGGAAAACAAAAACATGAATAATATCTCTGATATCTACTAATATATATATATATATATAAGGAATGTACTCTCCATTTCTGGTATAGTCTAGACAGAGAAGCCCAAGTAGAAAACATCCTACTATCCAAATTAAAACCATTAACCTTCAAAAAAGTGAGTGGGATAACCTTAAATAACTTCAATTTAGAGATATCATTAACTGAAATGTCACTATCATCGTCCATTAAAGGATAGCATCATCAACAAACAAGAGGTGAAAAACCATAAACTCTTCTGAATCTATTTTATAACTTCTGTCGCTGTATTTGGTGTAGGGAAAATTTCATTCTCAATTAATCCACTTTGCTTAAAAGTATAATAAATTATGTTTGGTTATACTCAACTTTTGAAAGAATAATACATTTAATGTCAATCACCGATAGAAAATTTAGTGACTGTATAGTCAACTATATCACAGGAAAGTTTTACTTTCACTTCTCAAAGAAAGTTTATTCTCACTAATTCACAAAGTATCTTTCCAAGGAATGTTAAAATATTCCTTATACTACACGCTACCTAGAAGATACCTCTTGCAATCATGGATGCAACACAATACAACATATGAAATGTGATTGACTCTGATCTCAAATTAATGAAAATATCCCTTAAGTCCTCCTCAGTGCCCTAAGCTTCTCAGTTTTCCATTGTTTCTGCCAAAGGTACACAAAACTGGCTTAGCAGCAAGTTTTTATGATATTGGCAATAAACAACTGCAGTAATATCTTTGTTAGAAACAATACCTAGCAGTACATCAATATGTCTTTACGCATCATCCATTTCTTTATCACCGTCTCATAACCCTCCCACGAAACAAACACAAAAGGATGAAAAGAAAGCATAAACATTTAGCTAATGAAGAGTGAATAATGATTGAGTAACCAAGGAAGAACAGGGAGAAAAACCAAGTACAAACTCACAATTATTGTTCTTCTAAAAGCACCTGCACTAACATAAGCCCATGTTCCCGGAAGCATCCCCAACCAACTGCAAAACAATGATCAGTTGTAAGATAGAATTTCATAACTTTAGATGTCCAAATGCAATTCTGGATAATTATGTAGAGACAGTTCCAAACACGTACAAAACAAAAATATGCCCAGTTTCATTTTATTACAATTTAGCTATACTTTAATTAAACTAATCAATCACAATTTATAACAACATCCACTCTGGTGAATTGAAAACAAAGTTATTCTCTTGAAGCTGCCCGTATTTGGAATTGTCAAACCAAATTTTTTAGATAGGTACCTAACTTTTAAGTTCAATGTTTTCAGGACATTCATCAGTTCATAAAAACAAGACATTAAAAATCATTGAAGAGCATTGACGGATCTTCTTGGGAGCTTAAGGGGATCGTGGCCCCCCAAAGTTTTGTAACTCCCATGTAATTTATAATTTTGATCCCCCAAACTTAATGAACATTTAATATATTTACTTGTATATTTACAATTCTATCCTCTCGGCTCCTCCTCGCTTTTGTAACTCTCATATAATTTATGATTTTGTCCCTTAAACTTGATGATCATTTAATATATTTAAGTATATATCTATAATTTTATCCTTTCACCCTTTCATCTTCTTTCTTCCTTTTATATTTATTTATCATTTATTAATAATATATTATTTGGTTCTTCCAAGATCAATAGTCAAGATCCGCCACTGTTGAAGAGCAACTACATTTTCTGTAGAATCAACATGAAGCTACAGATATCACATGTCAAAATTTAGAGACCAGTTATGCTTACATTATTGTTACAGAAACAAAGCGTGGCTCAAAGACTTGTCCTTCAACTTATAAAGGAAATCTTATAAGTTAATTTATCTTATACGTATCGTATCTACTATTTTTTTAAATTAACGTATCATGGTATCAGATACGAATCATATCTAATACTTGTATAGTAGTCATGACAACGATGATGGAATCAATTTCGATACATATAGCTGATAAAAGCTAGTTGGATAAGCTGTGATTGTTTTGATGTCAATATTTAAGGTTCTTAATTTTACTTGCATTTTTATTTTATAATAATTGTGTAAGTTCAAGATTTTGCTTTAGAGAAAGAAACTTTTATTTAGGTTAAATAGGTAATTTAGTCCCTTTATTTATTAAATTGTTTCAATGTGATCCCAAAATTTTAAAAATTTTCAATTTAGACATAAATATTGAAATTGATGTCAATTTTGGACTACCATTATTTATGTTTTGACTCTGTTATAATAGATGTCTAGTTGGATTGGAGTATCATTTCTGATGTGGTTAGGTGATTAGTTGTAGTTACGTGGCATATTTGTCACGTCACATAATTACAGGAAGAAAGGAATAGGGGTCGCGGATGTGTTTAGGATATGAACAATTGAGAGTTTGTACAAATAGGTTAGGGAAAGCATGAGGATCTGCAATATTGTCGTGGAGGTGCGAGTTGCTGCCAACGACAAGTTGGTTCCATTTTATCCCTTTATGCGTTTTTCTATATTTATTTTTGATTTGTTGTAGTTGATATTTAGGTTGTAGGTTGTGTAATTGATCTTTGAAGGAAGATGTCGTCAGCCACCATTTCAAGCAAGGCGTCTTTTGGAAGCAGAAGTCATTTTCCAAGTTGTCATTGTGTGAGCTCATGGTGCTTCGAACTGCTATGAGGTTGTCCTAATTTTAAGGTATGATGTCCTATTTTTTACAGGGGTATATGTTCTACGTTTAGTGTTTAGGGAGTTTGTTAGTGAATTTGAATTTTTTTTGTAGAATGGGGAGGATGAAGAAATCGGATGTAATTATTTTGAATGGGCTGCAAACGACGTTGATGGAAGGGACTTGTTGATTTCGAAACTGAAGAGAAAGAATCAAAACATGCAAAGTGAATTAAAATCAGCAAAATTATGCATGAAGATGATGATCATTTTGGTGTTTGTGTTACTTTTGATTAGTGTCGTATGTATATTTTTGTTATGTAACAAGCAGTTGAATGGAATGATGCTTCCATGAACTTGATTTGTCACTGTTGTGAAGGATTTGGGCAAAACTATTTAAGGTGTTTTGTAATGAGAAATATGTATGAATGGGTGAGGTCTTTTAATTAAAGTTCTCTGTTATGTGAAACTCTGGTATTGGATACAAAATAGGATTGGTGGAGCTATGTCATATGTGGCTATCATGAAAATAAAAGTTCCTCCAGGATTTTATTACACATAAGCAGTAGAATGGGAAATAATGGATGGAGGAAAAATTGGGTTGGGGTGGCATTGTCCAAAAATGCCATGTTATACCTTAATGATTCTGCCATAATGGTTATTTGATAACATTGATCATTACTTCTTTCGTCTGCTTCACTTAACCTAATTAATGGGAATATGCTGAATAGGTAATAGCACATCCGTGACTGATTACATTTTTTAAAGTTACATTACACCAAAAACACCAGAACCCTGTTTTGGCATATATGACAGTATAAATACCAAAATCAAGGAAAATTAAAATAAGTATCCAGTCAAGGACTTTGAATCTATTATTGATTTAGAATATAATAATAATAACATTTCATTATTGTCAGCTTATGATTTCTGGATAAAAATGTTATACTTGTATAGTAATGGCAATGGAGAGAATTTCACAACCAACCAAGATACAAATTTTGAATTTTTGTGGTGCTAATTCATTTGAATATTCTTTATTAACTAAATCATGGAAGTATTGATAGGAAAAACTTTTGGAGGAACTGAAAGTGGTAGTGATTTGTATATATTAGGTTACATAGAAGGTTTCACTCCAGTGAAGTCTCTTGCTGTGACATGGTTCTAAGACTAAGAAGACTTCTTCATTTTGCTGATAAAGAGCTCTCCAAGCAGTCTGAGAAATCTTGACTACGGTTTCTAAAACAGCTGATTTTAACCCATAATAGCATGATTGATAGAAACTGTTGATCGTAGCATAGAATACCATATCTTAGTATTTGGGTATCTGAAATTTATTTCCTTTATAATTAGATATTGTAAGACAATAATGTACCAGTAACTAATTTTATACTTATTATTGGTTTCCTATCTATAATTAAAGCATTTGACTACATTGGACTACACTATAGCAGTAGAAATCAGCAGTCCAATATATAAAACCCAAAAAACTTTGTTCCATTATAGAAACATGGACAACACAAAACGTACTACAAACATGGTTTAAAATTGAGACTACTGACTTTGGGTCTGGCTTGTTTCAGGCTGAGTAGGCTAAGGTGGGTCCATCTTGCAAGTTACTCCATTGTGGCCTAACCTTAAGCATCTACTGCATCTCTTTGGAGCTCCTGCCTTGTTCATTTGTGAATCATCCTTCTTTTGTTCCCAAGCTTCCAAATTTCTTCTCCTTTTTGGTCTTCCTGGCATTCTCCTTGCATGTGGTGGAAGGACATTTGAATATGATGTTTTCTACCACAACTGAGGATCATTCACTGGATATAGCATTGGTGCATATACCTCTTCATATCTTGCTTTCCTGTAGCACGGAGGGATGTAATCTTGAGGTTTCATATTCATGTAATTCATACATGAAACAGCATGGTAGCAGGGTATCCCAGTTAGCATCCACTTTCTGCAGCTACACCCCATTTCCTTCAAATTGACAACAAACTTATCTCCACTTAAATCTATGTTCCGAACTTCAAATGTTTGTTCTCCTGACCAGCTTCAAAATAAATATAGATGTGGAAAACATGTCAACAGATGTGATATCAAATATTTGAATATGAATGTAGTATAAAACAACTTACTAACCTGGGTATCCAGTATCGAGTGCTTAAACATTCCTTATCCAACTTCTTTTGTATCTTGGGCAGAATATCTCCTTCAAATTCAACAATTTTCTTCCGATTTGCAGCCCACTTCTCCAAGTACACTCTAATTTCCTCTAACATTGTGATGATAGGTTTACCTCTAGCCTCCACTATCACACTGTTGAATGCCTCACTCATATTGTTTACCAAAGCATCACACTGTGGAGTTGGTTTGAATCTAGATTTACTCCAAAATCTACAATAGAATTTTCAAATTCTATGTCATCCATCAATACATTAATTATAACGAATAAATCATTTAATATTACCTTGGTAGGATCTTATTCAAGTGTTTGAATGCATCAACATTTAACTTCTTGATTTCATGCATTTCTTTCTCCCAAGCTTTAGGATATGTTGCTCTAGCAGCCTTCCACATTAGATGCTTCAATTGCTTGCCCGGATAATTTTTCCTGAAATGATTGTACAAATGTCTAACACAAAACCTTTGGTCTACACCAGGCAACAATTCATTAATGGCTGGAAGTAAACCCTACAAAATAAATGCAAACTGTTAACACCAAACCGAAATATATAACAACAATATAATGATAAATACAAGGAACTAGAATGAATAACATTTACCTTTTGCTGATCAGCAATGAATGTGTAAGTTGCACAAACATGTTCCCCTCCAAGGTCTTTAATCATTAGTTTAAGAAACCACTCCCAAGAATCTCTTATTTCTCCTTCCACAACAGCGAAAGCAATTGGAAGCATTTGATCATTAGGATCTCTTCCAATTGCTGCCAATATTTGACCACCAAAATACCCTTTCAAAACACTTTGCAAACACTTTTGCAATTTCAATCATCTCCATTGCACCTACATCATCAGTCAACAATTTTAAACCATCCTCAAACCTCTCTCCACCAACATAGTACCATAACTTCTCTACCAAATAACCCTTTTCTTTTATAATGCCTACTATTTCAAAATAACTCCATCTATCAGGGTCACAACTCCAAGGGGAATCTAAACCTACATAGTCTAATTTACCCTTGTTTATAAACTGTCCCCCATGATACACAACTACTTCAAAATGCCCCTCCATGTCACCAACACCTATAAAATCATGATTTAAATATCAACAACAGTTACACATATACTGCACTATTTTTTAATCAACTAACACTAACAAGTGTATTATATTAAAAATCAAATTTAAACATAAAATAGCCTTTGGTTGCCAAAATAGTTCAGCACATGATAAAATAAGAACCAATATAAGGAATAAAGTCATGGTATCAACATGCTGCCACTAGATTAAAGTCATCATCAGGAATAATAAATAGTCTCAACATGTTGGCAATATGTTAAATAATGTGCAATTAACTTACAACATCGACACATAGGGACCACATATCACTACTTTTCAAAAACCTAAACCATACAAAACAAATGTAAACACAAATATCAAAAGGATACATACGGGATCACCCTAAACAAGCCACACTTTTCTATGGCCATCCGGGACCACTAGACAACAAATTACCTTACTGGCCAACAACAAACAGCTATATATATATATATATATATATTCCGGATTTAGGGTTTACGCCATGACACTTACTTTCTTCGCTTGGCTCCTTCTTCGTCTCTGCCTTCTCGTCGATGACGGTCGCTTATCAACGCTCCTCTCTCGTCACCGTCGTTCCTTCGTCGTCACAATGGGTCGCAGGTAGTCCCTCCCACGTGCTCAACTTCGCTGTCATCATAGATCCCCCTTCCCTCGTCGTCGGAAACAACTCGCTCTCTCCATGTCGATGTCGCAAATCCTAAAATTAAAAATTTTGGGACCACATTGAAACATTTTAAAAAATAAAGAGACTAAATTACATATTTAACCTTTTATTTATATTTTCAACTGATTCTTTATTTTCATAGGGATATTTCTCTGGGGGAACTGAGTGTTGGGAATATTATTTTATTATCTTTTATATAAATTAGGTATTAAGAGATTTTATTATCTTTTAAGAGAGAAGGTAAAAAGATATTAGGTTATTATTTTGATTTAGGCAGTTATGGTTGAGATATTATTGTTATTTGATATTTTGTAATATTTTTACTCTATATATACATAGAGTACATGAATAGAAGTATACCCACATAATATATCAGAAATATATATAAACAAAACCCTAAAATTTCCCATCAGTGGTATCAAGAGCTTTGGTTCGACACAATGGAAGGAGAAAGAAATTTTTCACAAGTCGTTATTCCAGTTTTTTATGGCGAAAGTTGTGACTTATGGGTTGTGAGAATGCAATCCTATCTTGAAGGATTGAATGTATGGGAAGCTGTAGAAGAAGATTATATTGTTGATCCACTACCTGAAAATCCCACCATAGCTTAAATGAAATTTTAAAGAGAAATAAAAACGAGGAAGGCAAAAGCTAAAGGTGTTTCACAAATGATCCTCACCAGAATCATGACGCTAAAGTCACCCAAAGAAATTTAGAATTATTTAAAAGATCAATATGAAGGGGATAAGAAAACTCGAGGTATGAAAGTTCTAAACTTGATAAGGGAATTTGGGATAAAAAAGATGCAAGAGTTTCAAATAATTAATGAATACTCAAACAAATTTTTGGGTATTGCTAACAAAATAAAATTGTTAGGCAAGGAATTTTCTGATTCCAGAATAGTTGAGAAAATTTTGGTAACTGTGCCAGAGAGATATGAAACATTTATTGCTTCATTGGAAAATACATAGGATTTGTCTAATATTACTTTGGCAAAAGTGTTACATGTTTTACAAGCGGAAGAGCAACAAAGATTGATGAGAGGAGATCATGCTGCTGGTGAAGGTTCTTTACTATATCATGATGGAGGTTCTCTCCAATCCAAGAACAACAAAGGTACAAAATCACGAGTCTTTTCTGTTTGTCCTTATTGCAAAAAAAATAATCACACACCCAACAAGTGTTGGTGGAGGCCTGATGTGAAATGTCGAAAATGTGGTCAATTGGGACATATAGAAAAGATATACAAATCACAACTAGAAGAAGTCGTCAAGATTATAGAGGATGGAGTAGAAGGGGAACTTCTTCAAGTTATAGAGGATGGAGTAGGAGGAGAACTTTTCCTTGCATCAACATGCTCTACAATCAACAAATCAACAGGTTGGCTTATAGACAGCAGTTGTACAAACCACATGACTCATGATTGAGAATTTTTCAAAGAGCTCAATGAATCACATATTTCTAAAGTGAGAATCGGTAATGGAGAACAAATGGATGTGAAAGGTATGAGAACAATTGCAGTTAAAAATCAAATAAAATATCCAAATCAAATAAAATATTAAATAACTAACAATCAAATAAAATATTTAAATAACTGAAAATCAAATAAAATATTTAAATAAAATAAAAAAAAAACAAAAAAATGAAAACAGAAACAGAAAATAAAAATTGAAAACCTAGACAAAAATCTTGGTCCCCGGCAACGGCGCCAAATTTGATCGATGTCGTACTCGGTCAAATAATTAAAACAGATAAATGTAGTACTAGGAAGCTTTCCTAGGTCGTCTCCCAAAGACCACGAATTTCTATCAAAGCTTATCAATTTTTAGTAACAAAAAATTAAAAGGGGAGTTTTTTCAAAATTAAAATATTAGATGAAACTGAACAAAAGCAGATTATAAAAATGCGGATTAAAAACAGATTAAAATGCAATTGATTTCCTGATTCTAATGTAGTGTCACTTATCCTAGATTACGAAATTAATTCGAAATTAACCAACTAAGCGAAGATAAATCCCAAATTATATTCTAATTCAAAATTAATCAACTAAGCGAAGATTAATCTCAAATTAGCTTTAACCCTTGTTCCAATATGAAATTAACCAACTAAGCGAAGATTAATCCCAAATTTTCCTTAACCCTTATTCCAACATGAAATTAACCAACTAAGCGAAGATTAACCCCAAATTATCCTTATACAATTAAGCATTGCATACATCACATAATCTCATCTCTAACACAGAATTAAGCAAACTGTGATATTAGTTTCGGTTTATTAAGCATAAACAGATTATAATTCAACACTGAGATTAGAAGATGAAGAGTTAAGAGAACAAACAAAATGAAATTGAAGAACAAAACCTGAAAGATATACTTGCATTCTTCTCAGAAAAATCAATACAAAGATTTAGCTATCCATGGAAAGTTGAAAACGCAATAGCAGAAACATAATTAAAATCGAAACAATAATTTAAAAATAATGACAGAAGAGTAAACAAACTTGAATATAAATTGCAGAAGATGAAAGGTGGAAGTGTGGTGGCTGCGTAGTCCTTGTGTGATGTGTGATGTGCCTCTCTTATATAAATAACCCTAACCCTAGTCTTTATTGAGGTTTGGGCTCAACTGGTCCATGAAACACATCATAAGTTGGCTTTAGTGCAGGTCCGTGAACTTCAAACACGTGCAGTATTTTCAATACTTATCCAAATTAAGCAATTTCAGTATCCTTTGAAAGCCTTTTGAGTTAGCTTTAAAACGCCACCATTGCTACTATTTTTGGAGGTCTAATGAATTTAGGAGACTTAAAT